TGCTGCTTGGTAAATCTGTGTAAATGACACAGTCTTATTTATTCAAGCAAGGATTAAAATCCAGTGTGAAGGCCACAGGTAATACTGTGGCCTGTTTAGTATTATACTTTTCGAGGATACATCTTGGGAAATGAAAAATACTGATTGGAGTACGCAAGGTTCAAGTTATCTTTGAAAAAGAACTGGACTGCTTCATTGCAGCTAAGAACATCGAAGGACTGGCTAGACTTGTGACCTTAAGGTGCTTTTATTTCTTTGAAATAATGGAGGACTTTCAAAACTCAGCCACATACCTAATTTAGGACTCCATGCTTCATGTAAGGCTATATTCATTCTATTGGTTGTTGCGAAACATTATCATGATCTTGTTAAAATAAAAGTGGTTATTATTTTTGCCGTTGATAGCACAAGAACTCTTATTTTCCCATTTTTTTCCTCCTATACAAATGAGGAGTTTTTAAATAGTGGTGAAATTATTGCTCTGGAAATGGTTTTTGTTAAATAGCAATGAGTAGTTCAGGCCAATAGAAAGCAGGCAGCTCTCCCACACATTGCTTCTTTGCAAGATATTAGTCAGAACTTCTGTCTGTCTTTCTACTGTATGTCTGAATATGTGTCTGCAAAGAACAAAATTTAGTAGTGCTGTATCCTGCCACTGGTGGAATGACATCTTATTTTAATCCATCTGTTCCATTATACAAACTTGTTGTCTTTTGAAATAACTTTCTGCATTTTCACTCAGAGTAATTTTAGTAAAGAAATCAAGTTCAATTTATGGAGGATTTCCCAGGCAGTGAAAGGTAGAAAATTTGGATATCTATAGACAAGAAATAAATAATGGCTCATTAACTTTAAGTCAAAACTGGAGGTTTTCTTTTTCAAGAATATACAGCCTCATACCACGAGGGATGGAGGGTTGGCTGTCCATGTAGGGGGACCTGAAGTCACCACAAAAATGACTTCCAGGGTCATTGATTGTGTTACTGAAGGAAATATAGTCCTGGGGAGTAGGAAAGCTTACTGACCTGTCAGGTCTGGTCTAATGTCTCCAACAAAGCAGGTGCCAAGTTATTATAAGCAAACATATTATTAGCAAATGGGTGATAAGATAGTTGTCATCTTGGGGAGCAGGAACGAGTCAATGGAGATGCTGCAGCTTCTGAGAAACCTGCCTTCATTCTCCAAGGTTGAGTGAGACGCCTTCCATGGGGCTCCTCAGCACCCCAGGTTTCCCTGTCACTCTGCTCATCTCTGTCTGGGCTCCCTACTAGAGTGTGAATTCTTTGGGGAGGGGGGGTCACATTTAAACTTCACAGGCCCTGGACCAGTCTACTCTCTGTTGCTTACTGAATGGTGTCAGATGAATGTGCTAGAGAACGAATCAGAGAGGAAAATTCTTATTGGCTTCAGGAGCGGGAGGAGGTAGACTGGGTATAGCCCAGGAAGCGGCTCCGGATTTGGCTTACAGGCTCCTGAAGGATGGGAGGAAAAGGACTCTGAGGCTAAGGCCATATTTTGCCAAAATGTCATGATTTCTTTTCATGTCTGAGAGTAAACTATTCTATTAAAATAAACTTTCATAACTCTTATCATAGTGTTGTAAACCAACTTGACCTCAATAAAAATAAACTTTTTATGGTAAAGTACTCAACTAGAGGATTCATATTTTAATCAAAAGCTCTTTGTTGCTTACTCTGTGGTGCCTTTGTCTTTAGTCAGTGGTTCAAACTTTCCATGATCTGGTCTCCATTAAACCTGTCACACTCCTCAGCAGAGCATCAGGTAAAGGATGGTGCGCCCTATTTTTTCATACCTTTCTCAGCCTGGAAGGTCTGCACTTAACCATTCCTCATCCCCAAACTCTCCATTGTCTCTGCTCCTTGTGGGCCCAGTTCAGAGATCACTTTCTCCACAGAATCTTCTCCCCAGCTTAAAGCAATCTCTCCTTTTTATCTGACCTGTCTCATAAGCACTGATGATACCTACCACTTTCTTTTCAGGGAATACTCTTGTTTTATTTCCCCCTCCGGTCTATAGAGTTCCTTAGAGGCAAACAGTCCGTCCCCCTTTTAATCTTGTGCTTCCCTAAAGCCCCAGCAGAGTGACTGCTACATTGAAGCGCTGTACAATAATGAGCTGAACATGTACAGGAAAATAATCTATGTTTAGGAAGTCATCACTCAATTCTTCCTAGGATGTGGGGTGGCATATATAATCAATCTTTCCACTGATTCACTTTAGTGGAAACAAACCAGGCTTCATGCAAGTAGCTGACCTCACACAACACTCAGAGAATTCCCTGGGAAGAGTTACAATTAATGACTAGTCACACGGGAAATGACAATAATGGGACTAGCTCAAGGGCTAGTCACGTTTCTAAAATAGTGAAAAGGAGAGCTTCACTACAGGGCGGTGTTTCCTGAAGGCCAGCTAGTCCACAGCTATCACTGCAACAGCTTTGTCTTTATTACACTTCTTTAAGTTGTACAACATGGATGTGACATGAATCATCATTAGTATTTTTTAATGAGAGGGTAGAAGACCTGGAGTCTGAAGAAGTTATTCATGGCTTGTGCCAGATTACTGCACTGGTTGTGAATCTTCTCAGTGCATTCACAGAAATAGGCTTAAACCAGGGCTGGCTTGCCAAAGGAGGCAGCTGCCACAGGGTGTGATCTGAGATAGCTAGATGGAGGCCTCCTATTTCAAAGTAGCTTTTGCATGATTCCTGAGAAGCCTTGCTATGTGTTCTGAAGATTTAAAAAATCTTTTAGAGATTCCTATTCCAGCTGATGAGTGCTAGGTTAATCGTCCTGTAAGTGGCTGTGTGGAAGACAGGGTTCCCTGAGGCAGAAGTCTGGGAACTGCTGCACTGGCCATCCAAGGACTATATGGTTTGGTGCTTAGTGGTCTAAGGGAGGCCCCAACAAGTTACGCAGTAAAGAAGCTGACTTAACTTAGAAACTCTTACTTATGTCACTATGAAATCAATCTTGCTTTCTTTTTTCCCCAGCTTGCTGCAAAATTCCCAGTGGCGAAAATATGTTTAATTGTTATTAGCTGTCACTGGAATGGGGGTGAGGTTTCATCTAAGTATGGGGCACAAAGGGATATGCATGAAGGACTGGGAAAGTCAAAAGAAGAGTAAGCAATGTCCAAGGTGATCCATTCATGGATCTTGTTGCAGACATTATTTTAATTTGTTGTCTTGCCTGGACAGCACAAGTGGTAGCATCAGATTGGAATTGACATTTTGCATCTTCATGTGGTCTTAAGTTGTCTGGTGTAGGAGGGGAAGAGAAAGGGAATGCTTCAACAGCCACATTTGCTTAGGTGGATGTAAGAAGAGGACAGAAAGGAATAGAGTAAGGAAAAAATGTGGCAAGTGAGGCAGCAGGAAGGCAGAAGCTCCCTGGCAATAGGAAGTTAGTTCAGGATGGGAAAAGAGTAAAGGACCAAGGCAGCTCAGGTAGAAGCTAACAAACCCACCATCTCAGCCATGAAAACAAAGCTGGGAGCTATGGAGATGCTGGGGTCAAATTATGAAGCTGTGAGTCCCCTAAAGCTTTGGCTTCTCAAAGCCAATCACCAGTGAAAGTTGAAGTGGTCAGAAGACATGGAATAGAAGTAACAGCTGGGACAGGTGCCCTGCTTTAAGGTGTCACTTGCTCTTTTTACCCTGGGCTGGTAGAACCCTTATTTCTCCTAGACTTCTCACGGACCAAGAACCTGCCTTCCCTCAGGTTGCTGACAAGCCTCTGGGCTGCACCTGGGCACATTGTGAGATCCTAGTCATGGTTTGCTGCTTCAGGAAAAATCACAGCGTTAACAGAAGGCCCAGGGGTAGCAGCAGAGAGAGGCTCCAGTGCTGTGCAGAAGCCAGAGTGGGCTGAGAAGGGGCTTCCTCTTACCAAGGACTCTCAGATGTTCCACTTCTTGCATGCAAAGCAACTGGGAGAGCTTTGGTAAGCTAAGGCAACTTAGAAATACTGGAAGCCGCAAACAAGATAGGCAACACATTTGGAAGTTTCTCTCATGCTGAAGGATAAAGGTAACTGATTCCCCTTCTAGGATACCTTTAGGTTTCTTGTCAAAGATGGTTAAAAATCATGTAAAAATTCCAGATATTTTCATCGTTTAGAAGTGTTATTTATTATGAAGAGGGTGGGGACAGGTGTGGGATGAGGTGGGGGATAGGGCCATAGGACAACTTGGTTCCTTACAAGAACCACGCTTTTCAAATTGTTGTTCTACAGTGAACTTATTTCAGAGAAGTCGTTCTGATGGGGCAAGGTTATTCTCTGGGACAATGTCTGGAATTCATTAGTAAATATATTTTAAAATAAATATCTGCCAGACTTCATTTGCTCAGGAGAAATGGTTAAAGTGATCTTCCCAATCTGAGTGTAGACCCCAATATATACACTCCTACTGGCTGGATTGGATGACTCAACATCTCAAAATAATGCCTTTGGATGAGCCCACAGAGACTGTGGGAGCTGAGGGCATGAGTCTGCAGCCCTTTGCATTACAAGTAGGCCGCTAGCTGGTACGGATCTAGTAGCGGCATCATTCCTTTGTACAAATCAGAATATCACCAGAATGTACACCCTTCCCCCCAAAGCTAAGGACAAATTTAAAGAAGATTGCTGGTTGTATGTTTTTAAATGTTGTTTGAACATGTGGAAGAAATTATGCTGTCACAGTAGATCTGTGCTTGTGTTTGTGTTACTGACACCATTTCTTGGAGTATGTTACACAACTGAGATGGTTTGGAGCGTCTGGATGGAATAACATGATTACCCATGGTACTGCACGTCTCCAATTCCAAATAAACACGATGGCAAAAACTAGACAAAAAAATGCAGAAATAATAATAAATCACACCATGTCACTGAAGTCATGCAAAGAAGAAGAAAAAAAAAATGGGCAAGCAACAGACACCGAAAATGAAAAAAAAAAAAAAAAGCCAATGCATACAATTCTAAAATCATTCTTACCTTCTTCAGTCATTGTGTCATAATATTTTAGTTTTCCATATGATCCAAGTTCTACAACATCACAGTAAAAGACACAAAGATAAGGAACGAGCTGTAATGCAAGAACTTTGTTTTTACACATTCTTAATTAATCAGATTCAGAGTTATACTGTCAAATTCCACAATCGTAACTATATAGAGATGTGCAAACATGGGCCATGTGGCAGACAGCTTTCACGGCCCATTTGCAGAAATCACTTAAAATATATTATTCCACTGGGGGAGGATGTGCCCTGCATTACAGAATAGGACATCATTATTTTAACATCTGACGAAACAGAATACTTGGCAAAGATAACCTCTCGCCAGGTCTAGCCTAGCCCTATGATTTTTTTTTTTCCATAGAGGTGACACTCCAGAGAAAGGGCTGACCAAGGACAGCACCAGGACTCAGGGAGACTTGTACAGTGGGATTCCTTGCCACGGAGCTGCAGTTCCAGTTCATTCCACAGCTCTTCTCCAACAGAACCACTTTCCTAGAGAAGAAGGAAGGCTACCTGGAAACACCAGAAATGAAATGAACCAAGTCCAAACTTCTCTTTCACTTCTTATCTTTTAATTAGAATACCATGGGTGCAGCATGCTTGGAGGAGTTGCGAAAGGTGCAGCTTTCTCTGGGAGGAATAAGGAGACACAATTCCAGGGGAGACTGCCTGGTGCTGGCAGGTGACAGAGTAGCTGCAGAGCTGAGATCGAGGCAGCCACTGCTGCTGTGTAGAAGGCAGAGGACCAGGGTGCTCAGCAGCAACCCCTCCACCCCACCGCCCCTTATGCAGATCACTCTAGGATGCAGCTGGAATGGAAACTACTGGCAGGAAGCGGCTGTTCTGAGTCAGCTGGTGAGAGTGGCAGCTCGGTTGAGTGAGAGGAGAGGTGGGAATGCATCATTTCTGTTGTTCTTACTTCACTTCTAAAATAGGAACTTTTATTCTTGTTTAGATGAGAATTCCAGCTTGTTTTAAGCAGTATATTGAGGATGCTAAAAATATTTTTTTCCTGGTAATTAACAATACTCTCCCAATAAACTTTCAGAAATTAATTAGACTCAAGAGAGATCCCTGGGATCCTGCAGAATGCTTCCAGAGCCCATTAACACGGGCAGTCACTGGAAAGTCACACACGAATCAACTTGTAATTGATGGGTTTTCAGTGCTAGATGAAAGCTCTAGCTTGAAAAACACTACTCTTCTGTTTTATATTTATAATATATTCTCAATCTATTCGCTTTCCAGATACCTAAAATTTTATCCAAGGCTATTTAAACACAACTAATAGAAAATTGTGACTTGAGGAGAAAAATCACCCCATTGTTACGCTCTGTGCAAAACCCTGACTGCTCTGGATTTTGTTATATATTTGACAAAGGATGCAAGTGCTTCAATAAGAAATTTGAATTTTGTGTAAGGAGAAAATTATTGTATGACTTCCAAGGATTACCTTTAGTGGAAAATAATTTTTTTTCTGGTATTTTAAGAACAGTAGTCTCATATATGTGCCATTGCACAAGTTAGAATTCTTAAACAACTGAAATACCTTTATAACAAATACTCTTCATGATCTTTTCACACACATAATACATGCATTTGTGTATGTGTATGATCTTGCAGTATGCTGATGAATTATATTCGGCAACTAATTCTTTGTAGCATCTATTTCTTACCTGGGGTAAGACAGTAGAAAAATCAGCTGGCATTCTATTATTTACTGAACAATTGGAACACGGGCGGCTCTATGTTTGCAAAGTTGGGTAAAACCATATTCTATGCAGTGAAGACACTCCATTACATTTTTATGGATGTCTTTTTAGCAAGCTCACTGTGTGTACACACTTGTTTGCACATATAATTCCCAATTGTCAAACATCTGCCAGTGGCAGATGTGACTATTCTTTTCCTGATCTTTTGTGGAGATGTGACTATTGTTTTCCTGATCTTTTGTGGAAACAGGTATAGAGAAATAAAATCGTGTTCCTTAATTATTCCTTCTTTCACATACGGAATTGGAACTATTCATGTCTGCCACAGCTCACACATTCTTGCCACTGTGGCATGTCTAGGCTGCTTTTTAGCTGCTTCCATGGATAATGAAAGGGACAGAGGGACAGAAACTGGACAGAACACACAAATTAAAGATGGTGGAAGAGAAGGAATAGAGCAGCTAAAGCTGAATAATAATAGATGCTGTGGCAACTTAAAAGCAGAGAGAGGGAGGAGGGGGAGGGAACACTATCTTCCTGATGACATGAGGGGAACCATGTTTGTGATGGCTAACCAAAAGAAATCTGCCTGCTAGGGTATAGTATTTTCTTTAATTAAAGATTTATTATTATTATTATTTTTTAAAGATTTATTTATTTGTGCATACAGAACTGGGGTACAGGCCAGAGACTCAGGGGTGGCGAAAGACTTCACCAGAGACAGAGCGGGGAGCAGAACAGGCAGATTGACGAAGTACACTGCTGAGGGGAGCAGCAGACAGGTCAGGAGAGGTCTGCCACGCCATGTGGTCACCTCCAGGGCAGGTGGGAATCAAACTCATGCGGAAGTGGTCTCAGCCTCTCAGTGCTGTGCTTCAACCCGCTGCGCCACCAGGGAGGGCCTAAAGATTTATTTTTATTATGCATACAAGAGCTGGGGTGCAGGCCAGGGGTGTGGTGGGTGAGGGTCCACTGGAGACAGAGTGGGGAGCAGAATAGGCAGATGTGCTATAATACACCGCTGAGGGGAGCAATGGGGGGAGACAGGAGAGGTCTGCTGTGCCATGTGGTTTAGCTCCCTCGCTGGGGATTGAACTCAGGACATAGTGACTGGTGATAACACAAAAGTGGTGAGACTTTAACCCCTGCACCACCAGGGAGACACTAAGGTATAGTTTTTTTTTTTTTAATATTTATTTATTTATGTATGCAGAACTGGGGTACAGGCCAGAGATGCAGCGAGGTGAGAGGATTCACCAGAGACAGAGTGGCTTTAACTTTTCAGTGCTGTGCTTTAACCTGCTGCGCCACCAGGGAGGGCCCACTAAGGTATAGTTTTTAATACTGATGGCACAGACAGTGAAACAGTAAACTCTGTACTCCAATGCTGTAAGGTGGTTAGCTCAGCATCTGGGGCAGGTATCTCTGAGAGTCAGCTGCTTTATTCCCTAAGCTGGGCTTCAGAAGATGCAGAAAGAAGAATATGACATGACAGGAAGACAAACGCAACACACACATGTAAGCCAGAGCACATCACGCACCTTGCTGGTGTCCTGCAGCCCAGGGACACCTGAGGGTAAGTAGCCTTGGCCACTGTGGCCTGAGAGGGTGCCAGAGGCATAAATGAAACTCACCTGCATGGGGACATGGCCTCTAGTGAACACATCCCCTGGAGAATAACCAAGACTTGGTCAGCATCATTGGGTGAGGACTCAAACTGTGTGTCGTCCAAGTGGAATTTCTTTGGCATAGGAAGGAGGGAGTGAGGGAGTTCAAGTGCGTGTTGTTTAACACTATCCAGCAATGACATGTCAACTGAGCAAAGTGCAGCCGGATGGGAAGAGGGATGAATCACCAGGGAATGCCATCAAGGATCCCACCTCTGGTCTTTTCTGTAATGTTTCTCTGAGATGCCAACATAGCCTCAGAAAAAATTCCAGGTCACAGTGCTTGGTTTGAGCCCAGCTATAAGCCCATCACGACTCTGCACTTTGGGGTGACCACATTTGCTCTGTGTCATCTGCTGCCTCAGCAACTAGAACTCTTGGAGGGGTTGATAGCTCATTTTGCCTCAACTTCCATCAAGTCCTGTTAGCAACATTTCTATTGACAGGTCGAAGGGAGGGTCAAGTTTACGATCTCAAAGAATCTGTGAATACGAGATTTTGGGCTTCTAATTTCTCCCTTTCTTATGAAGGGCCTCTTCTTCCAACACCTACTTTTTCATTTTACTTTTGAGGCCGCTGGCTTTCTGGAATTCTCAACTCCCTTTTTAGCAAATCTCCCCAGAAAGAAGCATCAAGAAAATTATTTCTCACATTTCAGGTCTCAAAATTCAGGTGCATAAAACAGAAAATCAATGGAAGTTTCTGTGCTGAGTTCATTTTCTTAGAAGGAAAAATAAAGGTAGGGGAATCAATGAAAACAAGCATTTGTCACTTAAGTGTTGGAAAAATACGATTACATTGTTTATTTTTTTTTTAAATCAAAGAACTGCTTTATTTTTGGTAATGGTGACTACCTAAAAGTGAGGGATTTCTCAATATGGATAGTTTCCTGTTAAAAGGAAACTATCCATAGGTAGCCTGTTAAAGGCTACCTTTTACCTATTAAAGCAGTGTGTGTGAAGACTAGATTACTTCATGCCCATGGAAGGATCATTTTCAGTAGGTACGGAAGTTAAGAACATGGACTTTGGAGCCAAGGGTAGGAGTGTGAACCCAAGAACTGCCATTTATTAGTTGTGTGACTTTGAGCAAATTGTTCACCTTTCTGAGCCTTGATGTTCTCCACTGCAAAGGAGCTTAATTGTGTCAGTCGTAGAAAACTGTGGTACAGAGTAGATGAGATAATGACACCCAGGAAACAATCAATAATGAGCGACTTCACCAATAAAGCACCCTCAAGATGAGTGAAGGATGGCTTTTTAACCTCTTCTTCAAGAGATTATGGTGGGGGCCTCCCTGGTGGTGCAAGGGGTTAAGTCTTAGCACTAGGGAGCTATCAGCAGCCACTGCAGCAAGAGTTTGATCCCCCGCCAGGGAGCTGAACCACATGGTGTGACACCGTTTCCTCCTGTCTCGCCCACCGTTTCCCTCAGCAGTGTTACTTCAGTCCATCTTCCTGTTCTGCTCCCCACTCTGTCACTGGTGAGTACCCTTACCCCACCACCACACCCCCACCCCGCACCTCTGGACTGGACCCCAGCTCTTGTATGCATAAATAATCAATCTTAAAAAAAAAAAGAGTTCATGAGTGCCTTGTTGGTGATAATTTTATGGGGATTATACCTGAAAGGAGAAATCAAACTTGTACA